AGCAATCGGATAATAACGAGCACCTCCCATACAAAGGTTATGTTGAAAATCACTAAACGTGCGTTAACCGACTAACAAAAAACGTCAGAAACACTAAATTTTACGCAAGAAGTGGCAGAAGGAAGCTGCACCCAGGCTTTTTTTAAAAATTGAAAATGGGCGTGGCGTCGCCCACTTATGGACCAAAAACCATATCTCAAGAAGTACTCGACCGATTTCAATGAAATTCGGTATATAATATTTTCTTAACACCCTGATGACATGTGCCAAATATGGGTGAAATCGATTCACAACCACGCCTGAAATCACGATTATCACTTTATCATGCGAGAGTATAAAATGTTCGATGACACCCGTACTTAGTCCTTCCTTACTTGTTGAATATCGGATTTCTATAATTTTATTCACGGATAATAATTAAGTGTGATTCATTTTATGATAAATCATAGGCATATTATCATTACTTTTGAGCAAAAAATTAAAAATAAAAATATTGATTACGGTCTTCGGTTTTTTGTGCATTTAAATCAAGGGTTTTGAACAAAGTGACCCATTTCTGGTTCTTTCAAATCAGATTTCCAACTCCAGATTTAATTTTTGAGTATTTTTCAAGCTCGGGTTTTTATTTATGCAGTACACTTTCATTTTTAATAAGGAACCTGGTTCGGAATAAATATGTATGAGCTATAACAAAAATAACGTCAACATCAAAAACAAAAAAATTAAAGTCTGCAAATTGACTTTAGACTTTCATACATAAAATATCATAGACTACTTTAAGTCGCGGGTGTACTTCAGAAAATTGACCTAAATTTGTTCTCTATATAAATCCTTAACCAAACTTTTCTAGAAGCTTCTCTTCTCTTCACATACAAGGTGTATTCCAAAGTAAACAGGACTTTTCGAATCTAGCGCCTCCTGGTGGCGCCATCTATATGTCGACTGGTGCGTTAGATCTTTATCGAGTGAGAATTTCTTCGGTTGGGAGCGAAGTTAGTGCGTTTTATCGGTGCGATAATGAGCTTCGAACAAAGAGCCAACATTAAATTTTGTTTTATAATTGGTCAAACTTTTACCGAAACGTTTCAATTGATGAAACAAGTTTATGGCGATGATTGCCTATCTCGGAGCAGAGTTCACGAGTGGTTTCAACTCTTTCAACTCTTTGAGGACAAAAATGACAATAAACATGTGTACCAATCAAAATCCGTCATTACCGTTAATTCTATCGCAACTGTACGTGAATTCATCAAAAATCAGCCGAAATCATAAGTGATATTCATGGAAATGGAATTGAACCTCTCCAAAACATCGATTTATCGCATTTTCACCAAACATTTTCTTTTGGACCGTGCAAAAAGCTGTATTGAAGCAGAAGGGGACTATTTTGAATAAAATAAATTGATTTTGCCGAAAAAACCATTTGTTCTTGTTTTTTTGAAGTCCTGTTTAGGTCGGAACGCACCTTGTACTTTATTTTCTTTCCGGCTTAATTTGGTTTTTACTTTTTCAATATTTCTATAAATCATCAGTTCATTCCTAGATACATATACTTACATACTTTTAAATGCAAACTAATTTTGTGAAAATTAACATATGTTGCTTAAATTGCCTGTAACTGTCCTGTCCATAGGTTATGCAAATATACATTGCATGCATCTGTAGCCTTATTAAGATTGTTAAGCGTGTTGGTTTTGTAGGCAATTTGCAATTAATTTTCTACATTTGGTAACCTTGAATAATTAAATCATTTATGACCTGACGCAACGTTCGTAGTAAATGTTGAGTTAATTTTTTTTTTATTTTATTAAATATATTTTTATGCTTTCCTATTCGTATTTGTTATTTCAGTATTGCCGTCAAGAAATGTTTGTGATTGGTTTTTACTGTGGTTCAACACGTCGTATGAGTGACACTTATGTACGACGAGCTAAAAAATCTTGATATCTGTGTGAGATATTGCTGTAAAAGTATAAGACATTTCATAAACAATTTAGCCCATTTAAAGGGTTTGTTTAGGTTAAGTAGGACACACCGTTCTGGGAATTGTTTTCATTCGGTAAGAAAACGTTTTTTTTTTTTCGCAGCCATATTTTCATACATTTTTTTTAAAACGCCCACGTTTTAGTCTGAGAGCTTGTTTACTTGGATACTTGATTGTTTTTATTATGAAAATAAGAGCACAATAGACCTTAGGTCGCGGTGCAAACCTCAAATCATTTATATTCTGTCATTGTATGTCATAATTGTAAAAAAAAACTACAAATAAATGTAAAAAAAGAAACAATGTTACTCATAAAACTTTTGTTATAAGTAGTAGTCGAATAATATTTAATAATAAAAATATTTCCTTAGAAACTACAAAGTGCTTAAATTACAAATTTCGCAGTAAAATTACTCTTATGACGCCGGAATTGTAGTATTATTTCAATTTCTATGCAATTTCTAGAAAAGCTTGTTGACAATGTATCGCTTGATATCAATAAATATCTATGTATATACATACATATATGTGTGAATATTAAATATACATCGGAATATATATCTACATAATTACACTTGTGTATGTATTATGCATATGTATATAAGAATACTTTACATTCCAAAGTGCCAGTCGGACAAATTTCACCAAAAGCATATCAGTTCATTGTAATAATAAAATATATTCCGCATTTAACGGAAACTCTCTTCACTCAGGCATATCTATTGTTATGTTCGACACAATAATCTTTTAAGTATCGAGTAACCGCTCAAATCTACCGACTAATGATTACTGCTTTATCGCCTGGAGGAATCCATAGTGCTGCTCTCGGTAATGGTAATATTAACTGTACCTGTACCTAAACAGTAAGGCATTGGTGCATTTGCCTGTAGGAAATGACTGGAATGTTTATTAATAACTTTGTACAAATATGCGCACCAACAAACCTCAATTGCTGTTATGCACACTTACATATCTGTGGCAGCCTATATACATACATATGTATGGTAAATACAAACATCACATTTCCCAGTTTATGAATTTATATTGGATCCGCCTGTTAGTCAAACATTCATCGGACCTAATAAACAATTGCAGTGTGGAAAAAAGCTTTATTTCTCTGCGTATAAATGTAAATATTTACCTATTCAATTAAATTCGATATTTGTTATCACTTAAATGAGTCAAGTGAGTTGATAACAATATATTGAAAATTGTTACTTCGAAGCTTCACGTGAAACTGATTACAAATTGCCTAACAATGCCTTTTTATACTCTTGCAACATGTTGCTACAGAGTATTATAGCTTTGTTCACCTAAAGGTTGTGTGTATAACCTAAAACTAAGCGAGATAGTTGTAGATAATCATAATGGCGGACCACTACCACGCTCACAAAACGCCATTAAAGCATTAAATTACCTTAAAGAATCTCAAGGAACGTTTTATTAGTATTTGGCATGACTACAATAAATAATGGGAGTAAAGGGTAGTATCGACCCGATTTTATCGTAATCCAAGCAATTTTGTATATATGTATGTATATGTTTACGTTTTGCAAATTAAGATATTTCCAGCTTTGATTCTTGCACCAGAACTTAGCGCTTCCTTACTTGTTCTTATATTATTTTTTGGTTGCTCGTTTGTTTTTTAATTTTTTACAGTTATAATGATTGTCTTTATTTTTATCTTCTTACTTATCGCCGTTACTACAAAAATGTTTACCTTGTTACAAATTGTAACCCACTTCTGACAATAGAAAATAGATAAGAAAGCGAACACAAGATTTATTATTATCATTTTTTTCTTTGAAGAGCCGATTATTTCATAATTAGAGTTGCATATATTTGATTTCTTTAATTTCCGGCAGAGATATGAATTCGTTTAGAACCTCTCTAACTCACGTCTTCTTTCAAATAAAAATTACTGTAAGTTTAACTCCACAATGTTCTAGGAAGTGTCAGCTAGTCGCCTCTGCAAATTGTTTGTAAACAATAGTCTAGAAATTAGTACGGCAGAAATATTGTAAGTTGACTATCTTGAAATAGGTGATAAAGTAGAAAGATGACTTCATATAGATAGAGTAAATTGTAGCGAAGAATAAGTTGTTTTTTGAACCTTTAAAGTGAATTAAATCAAATGTTTCTTTAGTTTGTTATTTCTCTGTGTTAATGGTTACTCTTTAGTCGATCGAACAGTGAACGACGACATCAACTTGACTATATTACTTATATTTACTCGTTCTATTAAATTTCGTTCAAGAAAATAGTTAATTTGCCTCAACTTATGTGAAAATATGTTTAGGGGATTCATATAGTCACATAAAGATATAATTCAAAAATAAAAATGTAAAAATGTACAATAAAATGAATTGTTTTGGCACTTTAAAAGAGAAAATCGGAATTGTAATTTAGAAGGATAAATGAGCAAAATAAAAAAGGATGCAATAAGTGGATTATGGTATGCTGCATTCACCACAATATGCCAATCAATTTCCTGATTGAAAACAAAGAGCGCGTTAAAACTAACTCACCTCAATATATGGATCTTACCACCAGGAAGTAACGCAAGAAGTAGTCTTCTTGACTTCCAACAAAATCATATAACAATATATAATATGAGTATGTACATCAGTACATGGTCCTCAAACTTATTGGCTTAATTCACACATAAATAAAACTGTTTTTAATTTAAAAAATTAATAGAAATAGTAATTATTGAAAAGAAACTGCAGGTATTCCAAACAATTTTAGATCCACTTGCACCACTATATTAACTTCCACTTATTTGTATTTGTGTTGCAATTCCTCCATTGCTAATCTTTCTTGCATTTGTAATTCCATTATTTTTAATTTTTCTTTGCGACTCTTTCAGTTTCATTTCCATTTCTTTGTCTTTTAGTATTAATTTTTGCTTCGCTCTTAACTCCATTTCTTTTTCTTTAATCACCAATTCCCTTTCTCTTAATTGCAACTCCTTCTCCTTAAAACTAATTTCTTGCTCAATTTTCTGTTTTTTCAGCTGGATAATTTCAGATTGAAATTGTAGAATATCTGATGAAGCAGTTCTGGAATAGATTCCTTTTCGGGTTGTCCTATTTCCACATTCGCATTCGTTTACAGCCGCAGCAGACGCTGATTCGTTGAGGTCTACTTCGGAATAGTTATCGTTGCTCTCCAAACCGCCGAAAATTTCATCCACTTCATAAAAAAACGTACACATTTTAAGTAAAGTGGCTGAAATAAAAATTTCTAGTTATTTAAGGTATGAGCAGAGAAATGAATGACTTTTAAATAAAAAGTCTCAAATTTTGATGCGATTTTCTAGTCATTACATTCTAGTTTGAACCATTTGCACAAATTGGCAATTGTTCTCAATATATTCTATTTGCTAAACTTTTGTGCGCATGCAAAAACAGGGAAATTGTAGTTACGTAACAAAATCTTACATTTTATAGTTTCGCCTTCCATACTTCCTGCAATAATCGAGCCCTCCCATGCTTTTGCTTTGCATATATCGGATCTTCGAGCGTGTCGCTTCCAGTCCATCGCAATGTTGTTCTCTTTTGCAAAACGTCTATAGCAAATTTGAGACGTTGGCTTCTGTGATTTAAAATATAATCGATTATTTCTAAGTTGTTATTTAATATACAAGTATATACCTCAAATTCCCTGTTATGCGTCAAAAATTCCACCAATGATTTCTCTTCTCCCAATAGCCGCTTTTTTGTTGGGTTGGAACGCACCCGCTTTGCTTTTGTCTAAAAACACATTTAATTAGTAAAATTGTAGTTATTATTCATTTTCATATTACCTGTATAACGTTAAACGGGTCCATTAATCCAAAAACCTTCGAAATGAGCAAGCAGAGAAAAATTCAAACACAAATCTAACCAGAGCACAAAAGCAAACTGAAAATAAACAGAAATTAGCTGTTCAACGTACCGAATACATAGCGTTCAGAGTTGTATTTGGGTAAACTTATTTAATGTACTCACAACGTGTCATAAAACATCGTAAAATCATAAAATCATAAATTTTAATACTAGTTTAAAAAATTTTTTGTTGAATTGCATACTAAAATAAGTTTACGCAAGTCCAACTCTGAACGCTATGTTTTCGGATCGTTATAACTTCTAACTTTATGAGACTATGTGAAACCACTAATTATACGTTGAACAGGGTAAATTAAGTTTGCCATGATGTTTGTAACTCCCAGAAGGAAGCGTCGGAGACCCTATAAAGTGTATAGATATATAAATGATCGGTATGTTGAGATGATTCGATTTAGTCCGTTTGTCTGTCTGCCTGTCTGTATACATACGAACTTGTCCCCTCGTTTTTAAGATATCGTTTTGAAATTTTGCAAACGTCATTTTCTCTTTAAGAAGCTGCTCATTTGTCGGAACTACCGATATCGGCTCACTATAACATATAGCTGCCATACCAACCGAACGATCGAATTCAAGCGCTTGTATGGAAAACTTTCGCATTTGACAAGATATATTCATGATATTTGTTATAGATTATTTCTTAAGGCAACAATGTAAAGAATTGCTCAGATCGGCCCACTGTAGCATATAGCTGCCATACCAACCGAGCGATCGGAATCAAGGGCTTGAATAGAAACTTTTGCATTTAACTTGGTATCTTCACGAAATTTGACAAGGATTACTGTTTAAAATAATAATATAATCTCCGAAAAAATTGTTCAGATCGGCTTACTATAGTATATAGCTTCCCTACAAACTGAACACAGAGTTACTAAAACAAATGCACCTGTGAAAAGTATATTAGTTAGTGTTTTTTCTTGTTTTTGTTTGCAATCTAACAACAACTGTTATAAATTAATGTACAAATTTATGATTTTATGATTTTACGTTGAGTTATGAAAATTCGTGAGTCCCCTAGATATGTTTTTTTAGTTTTGTACTTTATATTTTTATCAGGTTTTCAATATGGAAGGCAGCTTTACATATCGTCACCTAAAATGCAAAATAACGTAACATAAGTTTTCATAAGTTACAGGCGAAGGAGCAATGTTATAATAGAAGCCACTCATATTGAAGCAAAATTTGAGTTTTGGTTATATATTGGTTATTATATCTGGTAGCGATTATTCGTTTTTTGATGATACGTTGTTTTGCATTTGAGGTGACGATATATACTTACTTTGCAAAAGTATTGAATACATTCATTCTCTTATAGCAGATAGTAGTGACAACTCTGTACTCTTATCATACACTTCCTCTATATAATCTCAACAACAAAACACATATGCACGTGCATATATATGCATGTACATATATAGATATGGCTAAATATACATATTTAGACGATAACTAGTCATTGAATTTCTCTAATCTGCCGGCCTATGTTACAAGTGATCATTCAGACATATGTGTATATTGGTATATAACAGTTTCTGTTCATCCACTCGGCTGCCCGCTTCTTATCGCCTTGCGTACGCGCCCCATCCAATATCCAATTTTGTTTTCAATAAATTCCTTTAACACCATGAACATGGATGACCGTGAACATGGATGAAATCGTAAGGTAATTCCGTTTATTAACTATACTGTTAAAAACTACTAAAAGTGCGATAAATCATTAACTAAAGGCACCAGAGGCTCAAGATTTTAAATCCGAGAAGGGGCTTTAAAGGAGCCGGGGTAAAAATTGGACGATGGGCGTGGAATCGCTCTCTTTTAGGTGAAATTCCATTTATCGGGACTCCACCGACCGATTTCGACTACATTTAGTGCATGGCATCCATCTAACATTCCTATGTTACAGTGTGAAAATAGCCGAAATCGGACAACAACACGCCACAAATCGGTCAGTGTATGAGTTGGATTCCCAACCTCTGCTCGACGTTTCGCACCCTAAGTTATTCCCTGGGTTTGAGTCTTGCAAGTTGCATGAGTATAAAATGTTTGGTTGCATCCGAACTTAGCGCTTCCTTACTTGTTATATTTATAAAAAAATGCACATGTATCGTTCGGAGACACGGACTCATATATACCATGATGTGCATATAATATTTTAAAACGGGTCTTCTTTAAATTATTCTCGAGTTATTCTTAATGAAATTAGTTATATTCATTTATAGGTTAGGTTTGCCTTCACACTGGTGAAATGTTAGTGAAATTAATAGATAATAAGGTCGAAAGTTAAACTTTCCAGCTCGAGAAGTTGCCGTTGGGTTCTTCGTTTTGAGAGCAGTCGGACATGTGGGTACATATGTATATGTTATAACTCAATAGAATTGTTTAAATTGATTTTATTTAAAAGAAAATCATCGAAAATACGCGATAGTCGATATGGAACTGAATTCTTAAATAGTTTGCAGTTTATTTAGAAATATTTCAAAGCCGTTAAACTTGACACACGTATTGTAGTATCTCATTTATTTTATTATCTTTTATGGATTAAAAAAGTTTGAACTAACCGTCAGTATTCCCAAATCTCTTAAGGGGGTATTCTAGTCTAGAAATGCTATTTAACAGCATTTTTAAAGTCCAATAAAAAAATAAACTAAGAACATTTTTACCATCAAATTTTTTATCAGATATTTATTGATATTTCAAGAATATAAAAAAAAATAAAAAATTAATTTTTTGTGATAATTTAATTAATTGCTGCGTGGTGGCGTGGCGAGGGTTGAAAATAAGGGTGCGCTCTTCTTGACACGATTCCAACACTTTGGGTGACCGTTTTTTGGCATACATTGATCCTGACTCTCCTGGTGGTCTGAAAAAAAAACAAAAGAATTCTTAATCAGTAAGGATGTTGTTATAGTCCCTATTTCAGGGAACACGAAACATTTTTTAAAAAATGGCGACTGCCAGAAAATAAAAAAAAATTTACGCTTTTTTTTTTAAATTCCTGATTTTTTTTTTTAATATTAAAAACAAAGGATTAAGTATTATATAAAGATAAAAGATAAAGGATTATACAAAGAAGGTTCACACAAAATTTCAAGTAAATCGGTTGTATAGAACTTGAGATAAACGCGTTTAAAAAAGTGAGTCTGCCTACCTACCGGGCTAGGTACTGCATCACTAAAGTAACTGTAGCTCTTAAAATAATTTTAATTTTTAAAAATCCTTTGGAGGATATGTTCTTAAGGTCTAACCTTTAAATATATGAAAAAAATCGAAATTTTCAAAATTCTAGAGTAGAATACCACCTTAAATGTATGGGAACCTAAAAAAAATAGCGACCCCTTGGAGTTAAGCTACAGCGCCTGGCTTGAGAGAGGATTTTTTGTTTGCCAATCACTAACATTTGAGGGGTTAAGAGTTGAAAAAAAATATTTTTTGAAGCACCCTATTGTACACAAATACACACATTTAAACAAATGTGCGACTTCCACTTTCAAATTTTTAATTGGTTTGGTTCAGTGCAAACACGTTGTATTATTTCTATTAATATGTGACTTGGGAATTTATTTATTTTTAAAAATTCTTGGGTACTCTTACTATCGTCTACACTGTTTTTCGTGCAATAAAAAATAAATAAAGACTGTATATATGTATTATTATATTTTATATTATTTAATTAATTTTTCGATAAATTGTCGATGCATGTACGTAAGTATGTGTAATCCGGCCTTACATAAATTAATTATTTCTGTACTGATGAGAGTTTACGAAATAAATTACAGTTGTAAGAGTGTCAGTTTAAAATGTGTTGAGAACATTCTTGTGGTTTCGATGTAATTAAGGGAAGCCTTTTTATAGTTAGACGCATTGTAATTTTTGTGAAATGACAGAGCAATCATGCCAACATAGCATACATACATTTATATCAGATATCCAGTTATTTCTCACTTATTTGGATTTGCAACGTGTGGTTGATATACATTTTGTCGGCTTTTATTTAGAATCTTGTTTTTTATTTTTTTATTTAAAAAATCCTTTGCCAAATATTTAATTTCTATAAAAAGTTTAGATATTTAAATACAAACATGAAATTAAGAATATTTGTGGTTTAAGTCCTCGCTTACTGAAGTACTCGTTCATATACTTAAAACCAAAAAAAATTATGAAATTCTCAGTCCAAGTAGAAATATAAGTAATGAGAAATGTTTTAGAGATGTGAGAAATACCGAAAGGAAGGCGACTCGAATTAAGATATAATATTTGTCATTTATAATTACACCCTGAGCAGGGTATGTTTGCCAGGAAGTTTGTAACACGCAGAAGGAAATTTTGAAGACCAAATTAATTTTAACAAATAATCAGCAGCAGCGAGCTGAGACGATTTTGCCATGTCCATCTATAAGTATATAAGTGAACTAGTCACTCAGTTTTTGAGCTATCAATCTGCTATCTGAGCTATCGACATCGAACCACTAAAGCTGTCATACAAACTGAACGATTAGTTCTTGCATGGAAAACATTTTTATTTGACAAAATATCTTTGCAAAATTTGGCATAGCACATTCTATTGGATTATTATAACATAATAGTTCCTTAACAAAGCGATCGCTCAAAATTAGTTTATTCGTGAAGGGTATTATACATATATGGCTTTGGTGCAACCGAAGTTAACATTATTCTTGTTCTTTTATTTCAGCTGGCTCCTATTCGAATTGAAAACTATTACGCCTAATAATAATAATTTTGCCCTTTACCTTCTTTACTACACCCATTTAAATAATAGCATTGAATGGCGACTAATCTCGTTTGTATTATTCGTCTCATTGCAGTTTTCGCACAATAGTACGTGAAGCTAATTGCGCAACGCTGGCTTATTTGTACAACAACAAAACGGCACACACATACACATAACCACTGTATCAGTAGCTACAACAACCACACCGCAGAGAAGGCACTCGACTTATTATGCATTGACAAAAGTATGGACTCATTACATATGACGCGTACTGCTGGTGGTAGTGGTACACAATTATCGTCATTACTCTCAACCTCAACAGCAACAGCAACGAATAGTGCCGCAACAACGCCAGCGAAAGATCATTATAATAACAATTTGCTGTTGCTAAGTCGAGTCGCAGGAAGCGGACAGTTGCGCACAAGTAGATCTCCATCAGACACACGCAGTTCCGAACAAAGTACGTAGATTGCATGGATTTACATACATTACATATACTTAATTGCATAAGTATGTATGCAGATTCAAAGATCCGTTTGCAAGTAACCTGTGGATGTGCATTAAACGCTTTTATGATTATATTCAATATTTAAGTGCATACATTTTCATGTTCATATATTGATTATCAGTTTTATAATAATTAGCTTAAATATTACTGAAGCTAAGGAGCATTAATAACATTTGTACATATACTGTCAGCGTCAAACGTACACTTTACACCTTTTCTCAGTATAAAAAATTAAAATTTTTTTCAAATGAATTATCATTTATACATAATTAAATATTACAAGAAATTAACAGCAATCCAAAAAAGCTCCAAAAAAACGCAACACAAACAAAACAAATGTATACTCAGTATTTACCGTTATTACTAGTTGTTAACTTTTCAACTGCTTCATTCTAATGTTATTTAATATCTTTGTGCGGATAGAATATTATTTGGAAATTAGAGGAGAGTACAGCACTTTGACAATGGGTAAACAAACTTCTCTTGAAGTAAGAAAATTGGTGAAAAATTTTAAGAAATAAGGAAAATGTTTACTTGAAATTGTTACGATTAGTGGAAAAAAATCATAATGCAGTTCAAAAAATTATTGATAAGCAAAAAAGTATGGTGAACGAGAAGTACGACCACGTTCGGGTAGCCCAAAGCGACTCAATAATACAGAAACAGGATCAGTTGTTAGGGATAAAAAGGGAGATCCAACCATCGGTGCCGTCAAAATATCTGAAGTAGTATTCAGAACACGAAAATTGAACGTTAGTGCTAGCACGATGCGTGCTAATGGTCTCTATGGTCGCGTACCGAGGAAAAAGCATACATCTCTATACAGAACCAAAAGCGACGATTGGAATATGCAAAAAGATGTAAAACGATGGGCAAATCGTCCTGGAATAATTTTTCAGATGATAGCAAGTTCGAAGTTTTTGGGGGAAAAAATACTTACGTTTGAGAAATTAAAATAACGCGCTTGAACAGAGAAACACTACCTCCACTGTAAAGTGATTTGGAGGTTCGGTGGTGGCTTGGGTGTGCATGGCGGCAAGTGGACTGGATGGATAGGCTGGTTTTCATCGATCACACAATGAACAAAACAGATTACCTAAACATTTTGAAAGATATTTTACTTCCCAGCGTCGAGAAATTGATCACTCCTGAACTCCTGCTGTTAATTTTTTGTAATAAAGTATTTTTAATGTATTTCAAAGATAATTGATTTGAAAAAAATCAATTTTTTATACTGAAATAGAGAGTGAAATGTAAAGGAAAAAGGTGTACACTTTCTTTCGACGATGACAGTACATATATTATGTATGTATTTATTATATAATACTTATTTTTCATCATTTACATATCGACATAATTTATCCTATGCTTTCAATAGCTTCGCTTGGCTTCGGCTTAATTAAATTTTAATTGTGGCTAATTTTAGCAGTTAAATACAAAAATTCACATATACATACATACATATGCATAAGTGTGTGTATGTGTGTTTGTTTGCTGGTTAATTTGCTTGATGGGCACCTTTCCTTGGAATTCCTTCAAAGTATCTCACAATGTCCATTTATTATCTGTCATTGTGTAGCGCATTTTCCTCAAGTCAATTGGACATTTCCGTTTGTATTTGCGGCTTGGCGAAAAAGTAGGTGTGTCCACAGATATAAGCTACATATACACACACATGCATTTCAGCTTGGTATACGTATTATAACTGCTTATAATTCATTTAAATACTTGGGCTCATTTCCATGATGAAACTATCCATATAGAAATAACGGTCAATATACATACAGTTTTATGTGGGTGTGTTTGCATGTGCAACTGTGGCTCCAATGTATGACCGGTTTAGTGCATATCGCATTATTGGGAGCGCGTTCTTCACAATTATAACTAACTACTCGTAGCCCCACGAAGGAATTCCATTTATGCAACAATTAAGATAAAGTATTTATTGTAGTAGCACTCAGACAGATGATTAAAAGCTTTGCGGGCAGTGAAATACATGCTTACTTATGAATGTTCGGACATTTATATATGTGTAAACATTTGTTTATTATTGTTAAAACTATTAGTAATTGTGTTATTCTTCTCGGTCTATCTTACATTTGATTCCAGCTGCAAGTTGTGAAGCACTATTCTTTAGTAGGCTGCTTGTGAGTTCTTGATTAATTATTTAAGTCTATTCATTTTGTATTCGACATAGTTTACATGTGGCTATTTTTTGAAATAGTCCATAATTACTAAAGGGTGGTTTTATAGTCATTTGGCTTACAAGAAGAAATAAATCGCCTAATGTAGTGGCCAAGAATTTAGCCCTATTATAGAGATGAGGGTTTGCCAAATAAGTTAGTCGCGAGAATAAATAATAGCCGAGAAACTCAACTTTCGATAATGTTTTATAATACGCTGACCGTAACATAAATACCGGCTTCACTTTTGATGAAAACACAGACTATAGAGCATACCAAGCAGTATACTTTATGAGAATGTAACGACGTCTCAACAATGGCTTGCGAATTGTCATCATTCCAAATGAGAACTTTTTTTTTTACTAACTGACCAATTCCAGTAAAAGTGAGCTCCATCTCTTTTCTTTAGCAAATAGGAATCGATGGCCTTCTCGTTTTGGGTCCATTCACCGAACATGCGTTGTTGGTCGTTCGTCTTCAATAGACAAAACCAAACTACATTATAAATCAAACCACAGCTGTCCAAGAGACCATCTACAAACAAGTATTGACTTATTGAAAATTACAAATAAAGTGTCATCCATGTGTAGTTTCTCTACTTTTTTAAAGAAAAAACACAGAAACTTTAAGTTTAATGGGGAATGCCTGATATTGTTCAAAAGAACGTTCTGTGGGATTTATTTTTTAAAGAATCGACCAGCCCAAAACGTGAAGTTATCTGCTAATCGAAGTGTGCTCTCAATGAATTCACTGTTTAATGCGATGCATGGGAAATGGCGCCGTTTTGTTGAAACCAAATGCCACAGAGATCACGAACTTCAACTTCAAGCATCGAATAGTCAGTTATCATGACACAATATCGGTCGCTATTTTGACGGTTACGTTCTGAACAGCATTATTTTTGAAGACACATGCACCGATGATTCCACCGGTTCACAAAACCACACCAAACCATTGTTTTTTCTGAATGAGATGGCAGCTCTTGAATCTCTTCAGGTTGCTTTTCGTCCCAAATGCAGCAATTTCTTTGTTTACTGCCCATTGAGCCAGAAATAGGCCTGAACAAAATTTGAACCTTTCAAGAGCCTATAGAGTGAAACGATGTCACTTGGAAAGATCGAGCGGCTTGAGTTCTTGCACAATCTGTATTTTGTACGTTTCAATTTAAGATCGTGACGTAAATAAATATTATTGTATGTATGTAATTCATTACATTTGCATGCTTGTACTTATATCGTATAGTACTTATGAGATACACATTTGTCTCTTAATTCTTAAGTTTCTAATTTTCAACACAAACTATTTTATTTTTTGTTTTACCAGATTTGCTAATATGTTTAAATGTTTCTTCATCAAAGACTTCTAAGCATTTAAGATTTTTTAGCGAAAAATGGTTAAGGAATATATGCAACTCTGCCGCACGCTATTTTCAAAATCTGGAACTGCAAAAAATGAAAAAATAGTATAAATATTCATACATACAGTGTCGAGCAAAAAAGAGCACTTAATCAAGTATTCGACTGCAAATTATTTCCTAATGGCAACGTAAACTTTTTTTGTTTGGGGATTGGATGGCATCTCAAAATATATGGTTATGCGAAAAAAATATATGATTAGCAACTCCGCAGCTAAATCGGTTTTTGCGACAATAAAATAAGAACAAAACAAAACGAGTTGTTTTGGGTGAAGTAGGGCCAATCTAGAGATAACTAAAGCCCGTTTAAGCTTTAGAGGAAAATGGGTGAAACGAACCATTGCAGCACGGTAGAGTGGGAAGTAGTAGAAAAAACTGAGAAATGAAAGTCAAAGTATTCAGCAAACTGCAAGTCTTATTGGAATATCTTCCATATTCGTGCACCAAGCCCTATTACCATAAAAAACTAACTGCAAAAGGAATAGGACGTTAATTTCATTAGAAGTGAATCGGTGCGGGGTCAATTCAAGTCAGCTGCTGCAATATGAAATGAGATTGAAGTTATAAGATGTCTGGTTGAAAGTAAACTTTATGGGAGAACGACTTTCTAAGTCCCGATGTTGACACAGAGACATCGAAGAAATTAATAAATGTAAAAAAATACATAATGACAGACGAAAGCAAGGTCAACTTAGTTCAAAGTGATTATAAACATTTCTCGTTAAATATACTGTAAAAAAATATTAAGTACGGGTATCATAATATGAGAATCCTTCTCCTGGTACTTTGTGGGTCCTTTGTATTGATTAAAAGAAAAGATGGATCCCAGTGGACTCAAAGACATAAACGTGGCAAGCCAAGTTAAAAAACATTGGCCATTCAGAAAAATATTGAATATGCACTCAATTTATGTTTTAATCATATTTCTTAATTTTTTGAAGTGTTCTTATTTATTGTCCGATTCCAATCCCGCCGATTGCAGGGGGAAGAAGTAAGGCATGCCTGTCAGAAGAGGCGACTAAAATCCACATGCACTGTGACTGACATAAAAGGTCTTGTTTTAAATGTCAGCATGGTCTAAGTCAGAATAGTGTTATAATAATCAGCTTGAAATTACACTTTAAGCTTCATATTATTTCACATAATGTAAGGTTTTTGGAGACTGGTAGTAGCAGAAGCTACAAGGCTCACCAGAGACTATAACCTGGTACCACGGGGAGCAGTTAGCCCTTGGAGATACCTCCAATCTGCTCACTGGGTTTGGCCTTTTGTGGAGATTCGTGGTGGCTGTGGTTTAAAGCTAAATCCAGACAGGGCAGTTTGTTCAATGTGGAGTCGTGGTGCGGCCGGGTGCCGGGCCCAGAGTACGGCAGAGGTTTTAGGCCGGCCTCGTAACCGACCAAGGCGGCTAGGGTCCCTAACCACCCGAACCAATTGGAACCAAGGTATAAGTGCAGTATGCATTCATACTTTGGTTCTCCAAGGTATGAGTGCTGAACGCATTTATGCTTTGTGGCGCTGATCAACTCATTGTATTGATCTACGTGCTTCTAGAAATAGAAAGCACCGTGAGGTTAGGTCTTCGCAGGCAGGTACTCACGTAAATCACAACGGACTCTATCCGATTCCAATATGATTCAACATCACATTTAACAGTCAATTATTTACAAAGAAATATTTTCGAACTTATTTTTAATAAAAATTAGACTTACTGAATCAGCCAAAAATAATAATAAAAATTTGTTGATATTTTATCTGAATAGGATTTTTGTTTTGAACAAACACTGTTCTAATTTTTTTGTCCGACACTGTATGTATGTACATATGATTGTATAGTAACTGATTTTTAGTTATGTGCTGTTGTGAGTTTTAACATACTGTGCTTTTTCTTCTTGTTCTCGTTCTCGATCTTTTTCCGCTCATTGTTATTGTTTTGCGCATTTCGCACAGTACGAAGACATCCAACAACAATTAAAATACACGCATACGCTCTCACTCACGCACTCACATGCCCACAAAAGCTATCAAAAATATTTCTGTAAATTAGAAGAAGAACAAGAAACAGCACTACTACACACGAAAGCACGTCCGCCCACACGCTTTACGCTTGCTTTTTAGCTTCAAACGCAAACAGCACAGACAAGGATAACAACAACAACAACAACACTGAATTACAACAAATAATATACAGAGCATTGCTCTTTGAGTGATAACCAATTCGAGTGCAATTAGCAACAACAACAAAGCAAACAAACAATACATTAACAATCAAATTTATAAAAAAAAATTACAAAATATACATTTTGACAACAACAACAACAACAAGCTGCTTCTTCATCGTTAATATCTGCATAGATGCTGTTAGTATTACCATAATTATTGTTGTGTGTTACCTGTTGTTGTCACCTTTCGCCAGTTTATTGGGCTACGCGCATCTAATGAAGAACCAAATTAAACGTAAAAACAGAATATTCTTAGAAAACTGAAAATACAAAGCATAAACTTAACTCTATTTTCAACATTTTACTTCAAATCGACATACAACAACAACTACAACAAAACTGTACATACGACTGTCTCTGTCCGGATTTGTACGACGCTCACGTGTGTTTTTGGGCACTCGGCTACACCTTCTACAATACCGTTTCGTACGCAATAACACCGCTGGTTGTGCGCCACAGTGTCACGTGAACGAAGTAACCGCGGTGACAGCACCGATTCGGCGGGCCAACACGACCGTTTGACTTTCAGCGGCACAGCGCTATCAGCGGTGACGTCCTCAACGGCCGGATCGACGGTGGTCGGCACCACCGGCACACTGGGCGGCGCCGGCGCATCGGGCACCTCGCTCGCGACCACCACATCGACGGGCGGTGTCAGCAGTTACGGCAGCAGCACTATGACCGGTTGTATCGGCAGCGGCAACAGTGGCGCCACTGTCGCCACATTTCGCGGCTTCCGTAGCCACTCGCCGTCGAGTCGACGCAGTCGCGAACGCAGCCGGCGCGAGTTCCAGCGCACACATGGCTCCGATCAGGGTGGTCTGTTGGCCTACAGCGGCCTGAGCGGTTTAAGTATTGGCGGAATCAGCAGTGGCGGTGTTGGCATCGGTGCGGGGGGCATCAGCGGCGGCGGCTTCATAGTGGGCGGTGGTGATGGTAGCACACTGGATGGTATGGGTGGCATTGGCGCCGAGGATTCACGTCTTTCAGGTGTGACTAACAAGAAAATATGTAGTTATATATGTATTCTAGTTTCCTGTTTATGTGTAAACTTGAAATGTACGCAAAGGTCTTTTATTTGTTAGTTCAAACATACCTGGCTCACATTCTCAAGTTGTGCCTCTATTTTGTTTTGTACTATTTCTATGTTTTATTATTGTTATTATTATAATTTTTATTTGCTTTTGATGATCGACTGCTTTTCAATTTTCTAATTATTACCTATGTTGTCAGGCAACGAGGATCTCTGCTATCAGTCGTTCGCTTCCGACGAACAAGATGGCACACAAGTGGGCGCGGATGGCAGCAAGAAACACCATCGCAGACATGAACGTACCTCTAGCCTGCAAGCCCTCGATCGTCTCAACACGAAAATCCAATGTACAAAAGAGTCAATACGGAAGGAGCAAACAGCCCGAGATGGTGAGCGAGAATTATTTAGATAATGTATTTGAATAGAAAGTACCTTTAAATTATATTTACAAAGAGCAATACAAAAGTCGCTGCAAGTCTAATAACCTTCCTTTGGAAAGGCACTTTCCTACATTTTGTAAATCTTTTTTCCCTTAAGTTTTTATATTATGGCATATGTGACCTAGTCTACGGAAAGGGGGCTTTGGTGTCAAAAAATCAATTTTCACTTTTTAGTTGATTTGGATGGAAGAAGAGATGCTTTTTCACGTGATAGAATCCAAAAAGTCATAACTTGTTTGAAAGTTCCCTAAAAATGTAGAGAAAGAAGAGTAAAAATACAAATAATAAAATAAGTATTAGAGTAAACGTCACTTCTTCAGTGTTACTTTTTTAAATGTTCCACACTAGCAACTTACACGATGAACTATAATAATATTCCGACCAAAAACAACACTTACTGGACGTCCTTGAAGCCTCTGGAAAGGAGAACAATTAATGAGATAACGAGAAACTGACGAGACGAGTTGTTTATTTTTAACAGCTGTTTCCCAGAAAACTAGTTTTCGCACGTCAGCTCCCTCTTCGTAGACCAGGTCACATATATGTAATTGCTCAGTATTTCGCTTTTGTCTGAGATCCACTTTATGCCGAAAATGTTGAATAGTGATGAGTGTGGCCTTTCTCATACCATGCGAAATTCCGACCGTAAATAGCTCTGTATTACTTATGTCGACTAAAGTAATACAGATTTATTAAAGTTAAAAATTACCATCTATTGGCGTCTCAATCCAACTAAAAAACGCAATCCGAGAAACCAGCACATTCACATTTTTTATCGAATAAGTTCTCCATACTATTTTGACGGAATTACGTTGTTAGATTATAACAGCAAAAACTTCGGATACACCAAAAATCAATCTCTATACAACAAACACAGATATAAACGGGTTGAAATCACAACAAAAATTTTTTCAAAAATCCCCAAAGCCTTCTTACATATTACTATATTTTATTACTATTTATTGGTGGTTGGTCGGATTTCCACTAAACCGATTATTTCTTGGACTCCCATTTGAACATTTTTTCAGTTTTAGGGACGGTTTTGTTAGTTGAGGTAATAAAACTGTATCCTTCTTTTGCTATATAGCGATTTTTTCAGTAAGAGCGCTATAAAAGTGAACTGTGAAAGTACATTCGATGACATTATGTATGAAACTCGGGCACGCCAATTTTCGACGGTTTTTAAGCATAAATCGGTCGGTACTGCTACGAATTCACATTCGATACTCGTACGAAGTTCATCAATCGTCGCTGGCCTGTTGGCATAGACCATAGACTTGACGTACCCCACAGCAAATAACCTAGCGGTTAAAAATCACACGACTGAGGCGGCCATTTGACTGTGCCATTGCGTGAGATAACGCGTTCAACAAACTTGGTTTTCAATAAATCGATTGTGACATCCTGTTGTGTGGCGCTGACTTGTTGGAACCACATATTGTACAAGTCCATATCATCCAATTCGGGCCAAAAATATTCGGTTATCATTGAGCGTTGGCGATTCCCATTCACAGTAACGTGTCAGCCTTGATCATCACGGAAGAAGTACGACCCAATGACGCCGCCGGCTCATGAAACGCACCAAACCGGAATTTTTTCGGGTTGCAATGGGGACTCATGGAGTACGTGTGCATTGCTGCCTGACCAATAATGCACATTTTTGCTTGTTGACGAAGCCAATCAGCCAGAAATGAGCCTCACTGCTGAAGATTATTTTTCGATGAAAGGAAATGAATGTTGTGTAGCCCATCGCGAACATACGACGATTCTGGTGGTCAAACGGCTTCAGTTATTGCTTTGATCTGGTAAGAATGAAGGCCAAGAACTATGCACAAAATTCGTCACAACGACATCACAGAGATGCTCAACGTTTGAGAATGACGTTTGAGAGACTAATTTGAGTCTTGCCGCAGCAATGTTTGCGACACTGCGGGCACGGAAACATTTTGTATTTTGCCTGTGGATTTAAATTTTTTCCACTAGACGCTCAATTGTTGTTTTGACAAGACGATTATGGCGAATGTTTCAATAATTCTGACTCGTTTTAAAATATTTTTATGTGTTAAAGAGGCCAAAGGGCGCCAAGAACGAGGCATGTCTTCAACTATATCTCTACCATCTTTGAAAGCATTTAACCACGCGTCGGATTGTATTTTTTGATAAAACTAAATCACCGTAAGCCTTTTCCAACATTCACAACGATTGCGCCTACGAAATTCTATTAGAACATTTGACAAGACGATTATGGCGACTATAAATTGAATGTTTCAATAATTTTGACTCGTTGTTGGATCGTATATCTTTCCACGATGAAATGGCATACCTTACTGAAGAGAAATGTCAAAAGAGCGGGGGAAAAGTTTGGCGTCGTCTGCTGTACCTATTGGTCTACTTTTGTAGCGTTCCTATTGAAAACCCCGTTACCTCGAATGGACTGCCACGCCCGCAATAATCGTTCTAAGTATAATTTATGAAATTGCAACAACAGCAACAATTTGTCTGATTAAGTTCAAAAATATTTATAAAAACTTTGGTAATGGTGAATTAAATAGATGAATAAAAGTACAAACAATATGACTACTTGATTAATTACAATTAGGCGACAAAGAGTAATCGTATATTTTTTGTGCTATTTCCTCATTTCCAGATAACGTGAATGAATATTTGAAGTTGGCTGCCAGTGCTGATAAGCAGCAATTGCAGCGAATAAAGGTAGGTAATGCAACACTCGGTACATATTTAGAAACTTATGCAATGCTCTGTCATCGCTTTAGGCCGTCTTCGAGAAGAAAAACCAGAAAAGCGCACACAGTATCTCACAGCTACAAAAGAAACTTGACAACTACACGAAGCGAGCGAAAGATCTAACCAATCATCAATTCGCGAATAAAAGTCAGCATCGTCAGCCGCGTGAAGTGTTACGCGATGTGGGCCAGGGCTTGAGGTGAGAGCGCTCGTAGGAAAATTAAAAACATGTTACAATATTGCTAATCAAAAATATATTCTAATTTCCGATTTCTCGCTATAATCTATCGTATTTGTTTCCGCCCATGCGCTTGTAGAAATGTCGGTGGGAATATACGCGACGGTATTACCGGCTTTTCTGGTTCGGTGATGTCGAAGCCGCGTGAATTCGCACACTTAATTAAGAACAAATTCGGTAGCGCCGATAATATTAATCAAATGTCAGGTGAGTATAAAAGTATTGCACGTGCGCTGGCCTACATTTAGGCGCAAGCTTAACATTTTTGAGATGCTTTACTAATTCAAAAGGAAAGATAATTAACTTTGCATTGTAGCTCTAATGAAATACTCTTTAAATAATAAAATTAGTTGCTCATTGAAATTATGTGTTGTTATTTATGCGGCAGAAACTGAAATCAACAACATTAACATGCCCGTCAATGCTGAACTGATTGGCAGTTCGACGCCGAGTAATAACATAGCGGCCACCTCCACCGGTTCGGGTAACACTGGTGGCGCGGGTAGCGGTAAATTTAATAGCGATAACGGCAGTGAATGTAGCAGCGTTACCAGCGAGAGCATACCAGCTGGGTGAGTGTACCTATATTAATAATGCACATATTTAAATATTTATTTCGCCCACTTTATTATATTTGATTTGTCACAAATTTATTATTATTATTAATGTTACGTCCCCTTTTACTTGTTCTCCTCTAGCTCTGGCAAGAGTCAATCGGGCGCGAGTCAATATCATCTTGTGCTCAAATCGCTGTTAACCGAATTGGCTGAGCGAAAAGATGAAATCGAAAAACTAAAAGAGCGTGTTGAAAGACTAGAGGTGAGCCCACTAGCAAAAAAATTAACTTTTTCCCACTTATGAATCATTTTAGGAAGCAAAATAAGATACGAGTACATAAAAAATGTAAACTTAGATAATTTAATGTACTTTAATGAGTTATATACAGTTAGAAAATCAAAAAAATGAATTTTCCAGGATTTGTTTCTGAGAAAACTTTTAAATTTATTAATCCAAAAATTTTTACACATATTATGGTATCTTTTCACCGTATTTAATAGCTTAGTATTAGTAAGGAACTACAGCTGATCTCCGGGAACTCCTCTCAAAAAAGAGGTTTTGACCACTATATCTCTGAGCTGTATTCTCTGAAATTAAGAAAATAAAAACAGATTAATCAAAGGAATAAGCAAAATAAAATTTTTTGAAAAAATTACGGTTTCTTAAAAAATCGATTTTTTACCAAAATTTCAGCCTTAAATTGTTTATAAAAAAATATTTATCAGTCAGAAATAATTTATAACAAAAATAATATATTTAGGAAGCCCGTGCTAAAATTTGAGACTAATCGGTTTAGCCGTTTACGAGTAATTTGGTCACCGACTTTGAAAACACCCGTTCAGAATTTGGACCCTTCCAAGGTCTCTGAAACACCTATTCAACTTTGCGCGTAGGTTCCAAAATATTTATCGGAACGATATAAAATTTTCTGTAAAATATTGTACATTACGAAAATAAAATAAAAAAGGGATTTAAAAAAAAATTTAACTGTATATAACCCCTTAATAAGCGGCGTTTCATTATGAACATTTTTCAATCAAATTTATATCAAATCCAAAAACCAAAACAAAAAATATAATGGATAAATAATGGGTGATTTTTTTGAGGTTAGGATTTTCATGCATTAGTATTTGACAGATCACGTGGGATATCAGACATGGTGTCAAAGAGAAAGATGCTCAGTATGCTTTGACATTTCATCATGAATAGACTTACTAACGAGCAACGCTTGCAAATCATTGAATTTTATTACCAAAATCAGTGTTCGGTTCGAAATGTGTTTATCGACAAATTTTGTTCAGCGATGAGGCTCATTTCTGGTTGAATGGCTACGTAAATAAGCAAAATTGCCGCATTTGGGGTGAAGAGCAACCAGAAGCCGTTCAAGAACTGCCCATGCATCCCGAAAAATGCACTGTTTGGTGTGGTTTATACGCTGGTGGAATCATTGGACCGTATTTTTTCAAAGATGCCGTTGGACGCAACGTTACGGTGAATGGCGATCGCTATCGTTCGATGCTAACAAACTTTTTGTTGCCAAAAATGGAAGAACTGAACTTGGTTGACATGTGGTTTCAACAAGATGGCGCTACATGCCACACAGCTCGCGATTCTATGGCCATTTTGAGGGAAAACTTCGGAGAACAATTCATCTCAAGAAATGGACCCGTAAGTTGGCCACCAAGATCATGCGATTTAACGCCTTTAGACTATTTTTTGTGGGGCTACGTCAAGTCTAAAGTCTACAGAAATAAGCCAGCAACTATTCCAGCTTTGGAAGACAACATTTCCGAAGAAATTCGGGCTATTCCGGCCGAAATGCTCGAAAAAGTTGCCCAAAATTGGACTTTCCGAATGGACCACCTAAGACGCAGCCGCGGTCAACATTTAAATGAAATTATCTTCAAAAAGTAAATGTCATGAACCAATCTAACGTTTCAAATAAAGAACCGATGAGATTTTGCAAATTTTATGCGTTTTTTTTTTTAAAAAAGTTATCAAGCTCTTAAAAAATCACCCGTTACAAGTAATTATGGAAAGAATGACAAATGTTTGATTTTTATACAATGTCGGCCCAACAAAAGAAATTATTTTTTTTTTTTTTTGAAAAAACTTACACTTCATCGTCGTAAAAAATCGAAATTATTTACCTTATTCCTTCGGTCGTGTTAAATTTCAAGACAATCACTTCAACCGCTTCGATTAAAGAGTAGATGTAAACACTCTAAGCGAACGATGAACGTGTCTTTAAATCATATTTTTATATCTATTGTTTTTAATTTTTTTTAGACTGCACAAAAGGAATTAAACAGTTTAACTGCAACGCTAGAGGGTGAACGGTACCGCGCCGAAAGTTTAGAGGAGCAAATTAACGATTTAACCGAACTGCATCAGGTATGTAAAAAAAAGAGGAAGGGAGAAAACTTCCGTTATATATGCTTATTTTCATAACTCAACTGCTGCAGAACGAAATCGAGAACCTAAAGCAAACAATTGCCGATATGGAGGAAAAGGTGCAATATCAAAGTGATGAGCGACTGCGCGACGTTAATGAAGTACTGGAGAATTGCCAAACGCGGGTGAGTGCAATGGTATTTATATTCTTGAAAGGAATGAATTAACATTATGCCTTAAACATAATATACACATATTTATAATTTCTTTTGTGTTCATACATTTATTTGCAAATGCGGCGTTTAGCGCATCTCATTAATATATACAACATTCATTAATCGTAATTGTCTATTTAATGAATTTCACATTTCCCCCAATTTAGATATCCAAAATGGAACATTTATCACAACAACAGTACGTGACCGTCGAGGGTATAGACAATTCGAATGCACGAGCGCTCGTCGTCAAACTCATCAATGTCGTTTTAACTGTATTACAAGTGGTATTGTTATTGGTGGCGACGGCAGCAGGCATTATAATGCCATTCTTGAAGACGAGGTAAGTGTGGAGAGTGTTAAGTTGTTTAATTTTGAAGAGGGAGAAGTACTTTGTTCATGATTATATGAAAAACTATATTATATTAGGCTCAAGTATTACATGAACTAAAGTGTTAAAAATTTGTCCAGCAATATTAAAACCAAAATGCGGAAACTGAAAACGTAATAAATACATACCTGAATGTATTTAAGAGTAAATTAGAGTGATCGCCTTATATTTATTATCAATTGTAGAAAAAATACAGCTTTATGGAAAATATGGAAAAATGTTACTCATACGTCCTGTAGGGTTATATAAAGAAATTTCCTGACATAATAAGGATTGCGCACGACGAAATTAGTCCATATATTGCAATTTGTCAAATTTCAAATTGATTTTTTTTTTGACATAAAGCAGGCTTTATAAAATATAAAGCAAAGCCTCTGTTAAAGAGTCAATAGAATTCGACATCTGTTGCTTTTAAAATGAGTAGTCAACTAGAAAGAAATTTAGTCTATTTTATAACGAAAATCCAAATTGGATTATGAAAGCAATTACTAGAAAAGCAAATATTTCCTGGAATACCGTGTCGCATGTTGTTAAAACGTTCATCAAAGACCTGACCTTCAATATGAAGCAAGGAAGTTGTGGAACAAAAGTTTTTAAGAAGACTGACGTAGTGAAAAAGGTAATAGCTCTTTTTACGAAAAATCAGAACAAATTGGCGGAAAAACTACAGTGTTCTGAAACTTTTGGCTGAAAAGTTAAAAAGGAGAGCGTTAAAAAATAACAGTACGGCAAAATATCGAGCCAAACGGGTTCAGCATGATTTGTTAACAAATTTTGTCTGATGCATTATGTATGATGAGACGTGTGTATGTGTTAGGGGACTTTCTCAGCTTCCAAGTGTGGACTTTTATGTTCCAGATCATAGAGAGAGTATCCAAAAGATGTTTAAAACACAAAAACGGCAGTTTCCAAAAGAATTTGATTTGGCAAGAAAAAAGGAGCAGTAGTAAAAGAAACAGCTCCTTTGTTAGAACTGGAACTGTCAACGTTGATTTATACATACATCCAGGTGTGCTTGCAATAACAACTTTTGCCATTCATAAGATAGCACGAGTGTCGACTTTTTTTTAGCCTAACTAAGTTTCATGCCATTATAGCAAATCAAGAGTTAAGTGGAACGAGAAAAACAATATAGCCTTTATGCCAAGATTTGCAATTGCACCTAACTGTCAGTAAGTCAGACCCTTCGAAAGCTATTAACAATTTTTCGAAAAAGTAGTTTCCTTCAAGCAAAAAAATTACGGAAGATACTAGTGGGAGGTGTATTGAAACAATTTAAATTATTTATAAGAAATAATTAATCTACAAAATGTTTTTAATAAATGTAAACTTGAAATTAAATGTTTTTTTTATTTTCTATTAAAAATTTATTTCTTTTTAATA